TCTGCGCGTAGGGCTGCGAGAGCTTCGGTACCGATTATCCCTCGGGAAAACAGTACTTCCTGCTGTCAGAGTTTTAAAGTAAGACTTGACAGCTTTGGGTAAATCGAGGTGCCTTCTAGCAGTGTGAACTTCTGGCACTGTAAGTATGTTGAGAAGGGGCATCAGTGCTGTTCAACAAGTCCATATACTTGCAACTGTGACTTCCTTGGTAATTCTTGCTTTAGTGTGAGCGTACTCTTGTTTTAATCCACGCTTCACTTCTTGGTCACTTTGAATTGTTAAAGCCACAAACTTACTGTGAAATACACAACGTGTTTTTGTAAGTTTAATGTGGCTTCTTTTTAAAACATAAATGCCATGTTCAAATAACAACTTCAGAAATTATTTTAAGTACTTTAGCATGTGTAATTTTTAAACAACTTCACTGATAATGTGTTTCTCATTAAATATGGACTATAATTGACTTTCCAGCAGAAAATGGATAAAATGGCAATCTTTGTTAGCTAGAGAGCTGTGGAGAGGCCAAAAGAGAGAGCATACTTCACCAGTGAAATTCACATTAGTATCACTTCTGAGGCAAAGCTTGGGAAAAAACAATATTTGAAATCCTGAGAAACTTGCAGTTATTCACCAAAAAAGACTTTTTTTTTTTTTTTTTTTGGTAGTCTGTCTAGCAAAATGTTAATTGAGTCAATGGCTGAACTTTATGAGTCATGCCTAGATCTTGTCTGCATGACCATGGTTAGTTCACATGCAGGCTGTTGTGCTCCTGGTGCTTTCCTGAAGTCTGTGAGAGAGCTGTTCTTCTGCTTCTTATGGTGTGAAGAACAGATCACCCTCTTCTGGCTTTCCTGAAGGTCTGGGAGAATCATCTTCTCAGTGACCACGTTCCCCATAGCCAGTACTCTTCTGCCTCTGCTACTATTCTCAAGATGCGTGTATGTGAGAAGTGTCACTTTCTTCACTGTATGCATTTTGCAAGTATAAAAACTGTTTGCAGGAAAGCATGGCATTAAAACGCAAACAAAAATGGTGTGCAGTGGGAGGCATTTGACTAGGACTTAAAACAGGAGTGGAAGATTGTTTGAAAGCCTTACCTGTGGGGATGGCCAGGGAATAAAATTGGACAACCACATCTCAAATCTGTCCTCAGAAAAGAGGACTTGGGTACTACTTGAAACTTTTTTATTTTCAGACTGCTATACTTTTTTAAAAAAGCATGAGTGCTTGAATATTTTGATGGTGTTGGGCTAGTGTTTGGAGGCTTAATATTTTGTGGTGTGGGAATATTATCTTAACCTAACTTGTCCTTGGAACATATTTTGAAATAAGTACTCTTCAGAACTGCAATTCTTGTTTTTGGTGGAAGAACTTGTACCATTTTATTTTTAAAAGGAAATAAAACACTTTCTCATTGCACTGAGTACATGCTTTGGCAATATGAGATGTTGATGGTTTAAATTCTAGTATTACAAGATACTGTTTTTGATAGGCTTGGTATATTGGGCAGCTTACAAAAATCCTTCTGGTTTTTCTTTGTTCCTTCAAATCCAAAGCTTAGTTCTGGGTATAAGATCCTTTCAGCTTACTTTGCTTTAATTTGATCGGTTTTCCATTTCAACACTTCTATTATTTAGATTGGCTTCGTTCTGTAGTAACCAGACAAGCTATCATGCCTGAAATAAAAGTTAATAGTTCTGTTTGTGCTGTGTTCATCCATAAGCCAGCCTGGGTTTGGATTTCCCGTTTCAGTTATAGGCCAGTCTGATTCCTCTTGCTTTAATATTAGAGACATTGTTGATTTTGCAATTTTGTTGCATGACTGTGTGGATTAGGACATTATATAATTCAAGAACATTTTTCAAATCCACTCTGTTTCATAGTTGGTAGATGTCCCGGTCCAGTGTTGGTTGGTGGTAGTTTTTATAGTCACTTTTATGTAAGTGGCTGTTGCTAAATAGAAATATTTCTAGTAGAAACTGTCACTCATTTTCAGCTGTAGTGTGGCTGGATTCCTTGAAAAGCAGGCCTTCTGCCTATTTTAAATTCTGGTTGCAGTTGTAAAGCCTGGGTCTCTAGAACTGTTAAAACCAGAACCAATGCTATATACAGTCTCAGCTCTTAGGTACTAAGAAGCAGTTTCTCAGCCTTGAGTGCTGATCTCAAGGAGGATCAAAATGGTTTGTGACAAGTTTTGTTGATTTAAAAAAAAAAAAAACACACCACACACCCAAAACAAAAAAAATGCTCAAAATCATATTTAGTTGCTAAGCAACTCATAGCAGTGCCGTGCTGGTTATGTTTTAGAGGATCCATAAAGCTCACAGGCTCCCACACTAATGTGAGATCAGGCACCCTTTTATCAAAACACTGCCTGAGGGACATGGAGTTCTCGCTCTTATCTTTAGAGGGTGTTGTAGAAGAAAGGGTAACTCCCAATGTTTTATGCAGAGAGAAAGAAAAGAGATAGTGAGGTAACATCCCACTCTAGTTTTCAGATGGGTTCTCTTTTCTGTGGTGTTCACCTCTAGGTTCAGTGGAAAGACTGTTCCTCTTACGCAGAAATTCAATAACAAAAAAGGCTGGTTTCTTTGGAGATGGTGTTGAGGTCAGCAGCAGTTCACCCTCTCTGTTTGCTTTCCTTTTTTTTTTTTCATAGTTGAGGGTGGAGAAGATGAATGGAACAAGGAAGAGTATGTCACTGAAGAGGGCCTAAGGCAATGAGGAAGCTTGAATAGAAACCATTAGACTTGGAAAACTACTTCAGGAAGAGAAAGTCTGATAAATAAGCATAAACTAAGGTGAAGCTAAGGTCTTCATGGAACTGTGATAGGTATCAGTACTTTAAACAGGCCTATGATGTTTTAAAATTAAACGCTTAAATTTCTTCTGCTTAAAAATGTGTATTTGATATTTATTTGAAGGAAATATTTGGATTCTTACAGCAAGATAAAAATGTATAAAACTTCGGTAGGTCTTGGTCAAGTGTAGAGTGATTTAGCTGCACAATAAACATGAGGTATAACAGAAGTGAGGTTCTGTATGCAATTCTTATGTGTGTGTTTGTGAGAAAGGAAATTAAATTGTTGCTTAGGAACCTTAATTAACTTACTCAATAATCAGATGATTCCCAGGTAATAAGTTTCAGTGTTTCAGAATCTGACCATGGACCATTTTGCAGTCAGTTGTATGTATTGGTCCTTGGGCAGTGGTCAGAATCATACAACCAATCCTACAGTAAATCACCCAAACTAGTCTGATGCCTCCAAGAAGTAAAGCCTACTAACTCATGTAGAGCTGTGAGAAGTCTAGGAATGGTTTTGTATCCCAAGTGTTAGAGTTCATCTCTTGTCTCCTGTTTTAAGAAAAAAAGGAGAGCCGTGGTGGTCAGTGAAATATATTTTTAAGGTAGGTCTGGTAAATACATGTGGTATTTGCATTTGTTTCTTTTGCTTCCCCTGTCCTCTACCACAAGAATAGCTACAAATGTATGGAGCACTGCAGTATGCAGAGCCACCTGACCTGCGAAATCTTCTAATAGGTCATTATTAACTGGAGTTTATCTGTTGCAGGAACAAAGAAGAAAGCTGCCTGTCCAGGACTTGGTCTGTTTTATACTGTACTGTCTGCCTTCCTTTTCTCAGTGGCCTCTTTATTTCTTAAAAAAATAGAAGATGTACATTCGGTGGAAGTGAGTGCGTTTCGATGTGTTTTCCAAATGGCATTCGTTCTTCCTGGTTTAATATACTACAAGTAAGTGTAGCAAATGTTTAAATGCAAAGTTATTTCTTAAAAATAGATCTGGAATTATCACTCACTTAAATCAGATTGCAATATTATTTTAATTCAGACTTCAATTGCATAACTGCATTGTTTTGGATTAGTTGATAGTTTCTTAATACAATTCAGAAAACTGAAAATCTTTGACTCCCTGAATTGTAGAGGTTTCTACACGGATTATATCAAATGTATTGAACTTCCATGAAGTGGTGTTCTTAAAAAATAGAAGCTAATTTGTAGATACGCTTGGGTTATTTTGCAAGAAAAAAATTAATAGCTAGAAGAACAGGTTCTGGACTCTGAATGCGATTGGGAGTGGTGATGGGAATACATAGGTCTGTGATCAGACAGTTAAAAATATTTTGATATTTGAGATTAAGTCCCTCATCTAGAAAGGTGTGTACAGTCTAGAAGGGTGTGTACATTTAAATGTGATTGGATGTCGGTCATGAAATAAGCAAGCCAGTGACATTAATGTGACATTTCTGTTTTTCAGAACAGGGTTTTTGGGACCAAAAGGTAAAAGAATTTTTCTTTTCTTCCGAGGATTCCTTGGCTCTAGCGCAATGATTCTTCTCTACTATGCTTTCCAAGTCATGCCACTAGCTGATGCCACTGTTATAACTTTTAGCAGTCCTGTTTTTACATCGTTGCTGGCATGGATCTTTCTCAAAGAGAAATACAGTGTTTGGGATCTTCTGTTTACCCTCTTTGCAATCACTGGAGTGGTTCTTATTGCCAGACCACCATTTCTGTTTGGGTCAAACGTTACGGGGATTGAAGGAAGTTACACAGATCACCTTAAAGGAACTATAGCAGCAGTTACAAGCACCGTATCTGCAGCTTCGACTTTTGTTATACTAAGGAAGATGGGAAAATCCGTGCATTATTTTTTGTCAATTTGGTATTATGCAGTCATTGGTTTAATTGGATGTATTATAGCATTGTTTGTTATGAATGAATGGCGTTTACCGTATTGTGGGAAAGATAGGGTTCTTCTAATATTAATAGGCTTGTTAGGGTTAGGGGGTCAGATATTTCTCACAAAAGCATTACAGATAGAGAAAGCTGGACCTGTAGCCATAATGAAAACAATGGATGTGGTGTTTGCTTTTATTTTACAAATTCTTTTTCTCAATCATCTACCAACTTGGTGGACTGTGGGTGGTGCCCTTTGTGTAGTAGCTAGTAGTTCTGGAACTGCCATTCGTAAGTGGCGACAAAGCTTGAAGAAAGCTAAACAAAATGAAATCTAACAATACAGACACTAATTCATTACAGAAACATGAAATCTTGAAATATGTATACAATATTTATTTTTATTTATTTTAAATCTCTCATTTACCAAATTGTAGTACCAAGTTATATCCAATAAAATATGTTGATTAAAAAAAAAAACAACCCAAAATTGAAGATGTTTTAACAACTGATTAGGTATATGCTTTCTCATACTTGGGCATGCATATATGAGAAGTAGAAAGATATTTAAAAGTTGCTTGCTTCCTATCAAAAGTGGACAATAGTTTTTTGGCATTTATTTTCCTAAAATTCCTGATTCTCTACTTCTTAGACCCTTTCTCTATACTTCTGAGCAGTGGAAATCAGTCTCCCAGGCTTATTTAATACTATTCTGTGCTTGATTACCAGAGGTATTGCAGTACAACAGTTAGAAGGGAATGAAGAGTTATAATCCTATAAACATCCAACTTTTATAGAACAGATAAAGCTTGCACATTTACAAGCTTTCTAATTTTTTTTTGCACAAAACAGATGCCAAATGGGGATTTATTTTTAATTTGGATTCCAAAAGAACAAAGGCTATTTCATCTTTCCAAGTAATATCAAGAGAAAATTAACTTGTGAAAATTATCTATCAGCTTTGCTTTCTTTTAAAAAGAACTTTAAATGTTTGCACTTGCTTTACAGACATAATGAAAAAAACTAATCCCTTTTTTTTAATGTTATTTTCCCAATAAGCATGTCTTTAGTTGCTGCTGTCTCGGTGATGAGAGACAACAGTTAATTGTATACCACTTATAAATTAGCCATTTCTTGTGGTATGGAATGTTATGCTGTAGCTGCACTTTTCTTTATTCTATGCAAAAGATTATATTCTTTAGGTATTTAATATAGGTTATTTTAAATGCTGCTGATGACCCTTTTGTTTAGATTCTTTTGTACAAAAGTTCTTTATGAGACCAAGTTTAAGTCTTCTTGGCCTTCGTAAAGTTAGGAGGATTTACAGTAAAGCATCTGCCTATTTCCTAAGAATTTACAAGAGTGCAGAGTAATTGCAGTTTCACAGAAAGTGCAGGTTGGCCAATGTCATAGCAGAGATTCTACAGAACAGGTTTGAGAAGAGCTTGGTGGGAGGGTGGAGCTATGCGTACACATCTCATGTAGTGTGGATGCCTCCATGTCATCAGGCAGTGCTAGTGGGCAGCTTCAGCCCCGTTTCTCCAGCTGGCCCTTTTAAATCTGCACTTAGTCACTTCTCTTACACATCATCTCACTTTTATGGGCTTTATCTTGATAGCAACAAATACTAAGAAAAAAGACTTGTGTTATTGATCTTAGTGTCCTTCATGTTTGAGGAGGAATATATGTTTAGTTAATATATGTTAGTCTTATGTACTTTTGGGTCTTGTCTCAGTAGTGCTTAAAGAAAATTTTAACTTGGACCTTTATTTGGTCCTTTGTGTCATGAGGTGGTCTTCAATTATTTACTGACTCCAGTGTGTTTCTAAAGGAGAATGCTGTGTTGTATAGACTTGATACGTTTGGGTTTTTTTCCAAAATCACTAAAGGTGGCAGATGTTTTCTTACTTTGATTTACAGATGTCTAGTCACATATCTTTTCTTTTGCCAATAAGCATTGCATCCTGGCAGGGCAGATCTAGGGACTTGAGTCCCAAAGGACTGGAATGTGCATAGTACTTTGGGATGCGTCTGGATGTGAGGAGCCATCTTTGTGCATGATTCTGTACGTAAACCAGCACCCTGAATCTATATATGTTTATGGACATGAGCAGATTCCACTTGAGTGATAGAATCAGTTCCTGCTTATAGCTGTCCTTTCTCTGCTTCTCCTGAAGGCTGAAGTTCAGCTACTGCTGACAAGGTCAGGAGTAGTATGAAACTGCTTTTACATTTCTTTAAAGCCTGATGTAATAATAAAATTCCAGTTCGGCACCCATTTCGCTTAATACTTGAAATGGTAAACTGGGATTGTTTCTTCTGCTGCTCAGCCATCACTACCATTGAGCAACAGCTTTCAGGGGAGGGAAGGAAAATAGACTGCATTTTTTACTGCTTCACTTCATGTTTAATATGCATGTGTTTGAACTGACACTTACAAAGGTGTGGTTCCAAAGCAGTTCATGTTGATGTAAACTTGGGTTGTCAGCTAGTCCTGCTCCCTCCCGTTGGCTCAGTGCTCGTGATTATGTGGTTATGTGGTGAGCTGGCCCTGGGAGCCGATCCAGCTACATAACTTTTTAGTAAGGTTGTTGGAGAGGGCAAAACCAGAGTAGCCTGAACTTGATGACAGTGTGAAAACATTTGGAAGGGGAATCAGATAAGTTTAAATTACAGCGTATGAATGCTGCTTTGTCAGTACAGAAGAAAAATAATGTGGAAGCTTATATCGACAAATCTTTAGGTCGTATGATTTCAATGAGTCTTGTTTACACTTAGTAGAGAAGAACAGTCTACTGAAGAAAGGACTGTTTTCTTGCCCTTAACACATAAATAAGTGTAGAAAATAAGCTGTCCTGAAATCAACAACTTCATAGAGCAATTGGTAATTTTTCTCTCAAGTTCTTGCAGAAACTCTTTCGATATATTTCCATACCTGTAGTGCCAAAAATCCCAGATTATTATTTTTTTTCTTTGTCCAAACCTATGGGGTTTCCTTATGGCTCCATCTACTTATTTCCTTTTGCTGTTCCTAAACCTTCCTAAATATTTAAATTGTTAAAATAATAATCTAAACAAGATCCTATGTTGGAGAACATTGTATTTTTTGGAACATTATTTTGATTTTGATCCATCTTTTAGAGAACTGTTTCACTGGACTAAGAATGAAGGACTTGATTAGGGCTTCTCTAGGCATAAAGCATGACAAGCTAGCTTCTATAACTAGCTTTTCCAGATGATCTTGGGAATGGAAGACATTTAAGCTTTAAGTTTTTTCAACCACCTCAAGTTTTTAATTTTTCTTCCTCTAAAATGTAGGTTGAAAACCTAAATTTTAGTTGGAAGCCTTGAAGAGAATGAAATTATACATAAATACGGAAACCCTAAAATGTTTTGTTTTTTTTTAAACTGAAAATAGTTCTTACAATTCCTGTTAAGATGGTCAAACTTTTCTTTCTTCCAGAGCTTAGCAGTTTGAGAATCTGAAATTAAACTTGCCGAGCCTTGATTCTTTCAGAGTCTGACTTTTTTCTTTTTTTCTTTCTTTTTTTTTTTTCCTTTCCTGGGATAGATTTTTACTTTTGAAAGTTTTTTTTTGTTTTTTAAGTTTTAATACAGCAAGTTTCTCAGGGTCAAATGTTATTTTTCTAAGCTTTGAGTCAGAAATATATTATTAATGTTCATCACCTGTAGTGTCCTCTTGTGATCTTTACAGTATTTTTAAGTTTCATAAATGTACTTTTCTAATAGGAAGTCCTTCCTTTGTAATATGATGGTATATTGTTGCATTGCAATTGCTATGCTATGAAGTTGTTTCTCTTGAATTTTAACATATTAATTCAATGTACTGATTTCAGTGGATCCTGAACAGAAAGAGTAATAATTATTGGTTGTTTTGCACATAAACACAAAAAAAATTTAGTTGTTACTGATGCCTCACAAGCATGTTTTTATGTTCTTTACTATGCAAAATACTGTAATAATCTGTTGTCTTCAGTGGGACTTTATAGCCTTAAAGCCTTATGTACCCGACTCTTCTATATAAAGCTGATGGCTGAAAAAGCTATGTATTGTCACTGTGCAGCAGCCAATTTCTTTCAGGTTAAGTTGGTTGTCAAAGTATGCTCTAAAAGTGCTCTAAATACATCTACACTAAGAATTTGACAATCTCATTGTGTAGACAAGGGCAGTCTATATAATTAAAACGGATTTCCTGCATTTGTCTAACACCAGGTATGAAGTAACCTCAGCTTAACAGCTTTGGTGAAATAACTAGTTCAAATGTGTCATTTTTCTTCTGAAACCTGAAACTAGGCTCTTCCCCCATTCCAAAGAACTGTTCTAAGATGGCTCTTCCTGTAATTGATAATGACAAGATGGATAGTACTACCCTTGATCATCATTTAGTATAAACACTTCCCCCCCGCAGTATTTTCTCTTCCTTGAGCTTTTGTTCAAGAGCAGTCTGTTGGAAGAAAGTTTATTTCTAGAGAGGCAGGCTCTTAAAAGTTATTTCCTTGCTAACTAGCAGTAGTTAACCAGGAAGAGTCTGTTTTCTAGTTCTAACCATGGTAACCATGGTAGGCTCATCCGTGGCATCAGTCTCACAAGGGTAACGGAAGCATGATCTCTGTCCCTGCGTGGATTCAGGGTTAGCAATGCTGACAGCAGCTGCGCAACGCTGACTTCAG